GATGGGTGAATTCAGCATTTTTAATATGTCTTCCAGCTTTGAAACTACTATGATACTCACAGTTTAGATTGCAGCAGTAATTCTAATTATTCAGTATAATTTAAAAGAAAGGAAATGTTTAAAAGGTACATACATGTAAGTCCTGGCTTATCCTATGACTTATCAAGTTTACAAACCCTTAATAGGAGCATAAAGGCAAGATGCTAAGATTGGTTTCATGAGTAACCTAAACCATTGAAGATACATCTTTTTACTATGTAAATCCACATTATTTTCTAATTTCTATGGAAATTCCTATTTTTTACTATTATTTCTTTTAACTATAATATTATTACACTTTCCCATTCCCTTTGTCACTACCAAACTTCTCATATATCCCTCCTTGCTCTCTTTCAAATTAATGGACTCTTATTTTCATCGTTGTTTTTACTTGCATATATGATGTTCATATATTTTTCTAAATATAACTTGTTCAGTCTGTATAATGTCACTCTATTACATGTTTTAAGGACTGGTCATTTCTCGTTTAATGAAAGATTTTTTTTTTCTTTTCCACTTGGGAGAGAAAATTATTGATGGCTTCTTTAAAAGGTTTTGGCAATCTGGAATTTAAAAGAATTTATCCCCACTCTTCTAAGGAAGGACCAGCTATTCCTGTGAATTTAGTTGAGAAATGGAGATAAAAAACCTGAGCAGGTGTTTCTAGATGTTGAATTCTAGTAATTTGGAGGCTAAGACTGGAAGACGAGGAGTGCAAGGCCAGCTTGGGTCGTAAGATAAAACTCTATCTCAAACAATAAAAGTGAAGACTGGAGAAATGGGTTTTGTGTTTTTCAGTTACTATGATGGTGATGGCACATACCTTTTTAAAATTTATTTTATTGAGCTATACATTTTTCTCTGATCCCCTTTCTTCTTCTCCCTGTTCCTTCTACCCTCTCCCATGATACCCACACTTGCAATTTACTCAGGAGATCTTGTCTTTGTCTACTTCCCATGTAAATTCGATCGATATTGTCTAGTTTCTCTGGGATTGTGAATTCTAGGCTGGTTTTCTTTGCTTTATGTCAAAAGCCACTGATGAGTGAATACATATGATATTTGTCTTTCTGGGTCTGGGTTACCTCACTCAACATGATGTTTTATAGATCCATCCATTTGCTTTCAGTTTTTAAGATGTCACTTTTTTTTCTTCTGTGTAGTACTCCATTGTGTAAATGTACATTTTCCTTATCCATTCTTTGGTCAAGGAGCATTTAGGTTGTTTCCAGGTTCTGGCTATAACTAAAAATGCTGCTATAAACATAGTTGAGCACATCTACTTGTGGTATGATCAAGCATCATTTGGGTATATACCCCAAAGTGGTATTACTGGGTCTTAGAGAAGATTGTTTCCTAATTTTATGAAAAATAGCCATACTGATATCCTTAGGGGCTGTACCAGCTTTCACTACCAATAGAAATACAGGAGTGTTCCCTTTACCCCACATCTTCTCTAACATAAGTTCCCATCAGTGTTTTTGAACTTGGTCATTCTTACAGGTGTAAGATGGAATCTCAAAGTTGTTTTGATTTCCATTTCTCTGATGGCTAAGGATGTTGAGCATTTTATCAATAATCTTTCAGACATTTTAGATTCATTTGCTGAGGAGTTCTCTGTTTAGGTCTACCCCATTTTTAAATTAGATTATATGTTTTTGTTTTTTTTTTTTTGATGACCAATTTCTTGAGTATATTATTGTGATCAGTCCTCACCTTTAATCCCAGCACCGAGGAAACAGAGGCAGGTGTGTCTCTGTAAATTTGAGGCTGGTATATAAAGCTATATCCAGGACAGGTACCAAAGTTACACAGAGAAACTATGTCTTGAAAATAGAAAAAAAAAAAAAAAAGATGGGGCAAACTCTACACTACTGTGAACATAGAATGAAAGAAAAATTATGAGCACTTTCCATATAAATTCTTTTTCTTAAGGAAAAAAAAGAAATAGTTTACATAACAGTTAACATTTTGCCATTTATCATAGCATTTTAAATAAAAGCATAAATAACTTCTTCTAATCTCTAAAGGGTACCTATTATTAATTCATGATTAATATATGTAAGGTCAAATTTCCTAAGTCAAAGTCAAATTAAGCTTGAAAACATCTTACACTTAAAATAAGATAATATAGAATTAAATGAATTCTCCATTCTATGATTGAAATCTCTAAGCCTAAAAGGACATTTTTGTTCTTTAAACCTCCAGGATTAAAGAACACTTATCTCCCTGCTGGAAGTTTGCAGTGGTTATTTGGTTTTGTTTCACACAGGTTTAATTGGTTTGTTTCAGCAATTCTGGGCTGTGAACTAATTTCATACAATATCCAATTGTGAGAGCAAATTTTGTGCTTGGAAAGCTTGGGTATAATCCATTTCCCAGAACTGAAAATACACAGCTTGATTGAGGAACTCTTATGTTACAGGTTGTTCTGTAAATCTTACCCAATTCTGAACAGCATGTGATTTTGCAAGAATCAGCATTTAAAGTCCCCAGCAGCTAGGAGCGTAAACACAGGCAGGTCCTACACTAAAAATATATTAGGCAGCCTTGACATATGGAAAAGCGAGGACAAAAACAAAGCTAGGTTCATAGTTCTTCCCTTTTAAAATTTTTGTTAAAGTTGTACTTTTCTTTTTTGTTTTTAATATGGCCAGGTGTGATAGCCAGTGGCCATGCTTGCCTATGGAAACTGGAACATGGCCAGAAAAAGGTGTTTTTCTTTCTTTTACCTTGTAGGTTCCATGGATTTAACTCAAGTAGTCAGATTCTGTTGCAAGAAAGTTCATTAACGAGTTCAGCCTTCCTGCTGGTCCAGTTAACCTTGCTTTTGGAAGAATGTTGATATTTATCAAAGCAGAAGTGATTTATAAAATGCTTGCCTCTTCTTGGAGGCTTAGGAAAGCATTAGGATAGCATTTCACAAGAGTTTTTAATCAGCCCAGTAGCCAGTGTCTGATGTAGGGAAAAGAAACAATAGCAAATATTGAAGCATATATGTAACAATTTTAATTGATTCAAGTTCTGTTGCATGGGGGAATTCCTTTTAAGTTGACAGACTGTTGAAATTGTTTACTTTTCAGACAGACCCAGGCTACTAGCCAAGCTAAGAATAAAGAGGGAGCTCTGTGTCCACTGAATATCCACGAAACTTCTCACATCTGTTTCTTGATTGTGTGAACTTTGTGAATATCATGAAGTTACACTACATAATGCTTTAAATATTAAATCCCTTCTTCGTCTCTTACTGTGAAGCCCTTGGAACAGTAATGTGGACAGTGCAGCCCAATTCACCAGTAAGAACGAGAACCGCATTTCAATACATAATGATGAAAAATCATATCCAACAATAACAAGAAAATCAGCTGGATCCATGGTATGAGAATTTTAAAACATTAATATTAAATTATCATGTAAACTGCAAGGCGCTTCCTTTTAATATTCAAATTCCACTTAGTGTTTAGATAAACAGCTTGATTTCACTTGTATCATTTCTTAAAATTTAAGAATTCGGTAAAAATTAAATAGATCTGTTTTCTTTATATATAGCTTCAAAAATATCTCAGTAAGTAGTATGAATGTAGAACATTAAAATAAAAGACAAAAACATTGACTTATGACAAAAGAAAAGGTTGAGTTATATTTAATAATATCAACACTGCTTTAGAAATCCTAGCCAATATAATTATATTTCATTTTAATAATACTCATATTTTCATATATAAGGAAATAAATACCTTAGTCTAAATGGTGTTTGAATATAAGACTTATAAGCTAGAATTCAAGGAATAATATTAGAAAATATAATTGAAAAAAGGTCAATCAAACATATTAAACAGTCTTAAACAAATTATTAGAATTTGACTAAAAGATAAAACTGAGAAACCATATCTGTCTTTCTTATCTGGAGAGGTAAGTATCCAGTTAGAGCTTGTGTGTTAATATTTTTCAGTGAGTAGAGGCTACAGCAAAGGCTCAAATTGCAAAGTGCTGGCTAAATGAAACGTCTGGAAAAATGATTAACATTGTGTTATTCAGTTGATCTAACAAGTGCTAAGTCAGGTATGGCAGTCGCTAGCACCTGTAACCCCGGCACATAGCTGGTTGACACAGGAGGACTACAGTGAGTTCACGGACAAACTGGCTGCACCCTATTTTAAAAAATACAAAATGAAAAAAAAAAAGCTAATTGTATACTAATCACATCACTAGTTACCTACCATGAACAAGGAAAGTGAACCCCTTCACTGAATAAAGTGAACAGTTTTGATGGAATTGAACCGAATGATAGACTTAGAACTTCTGTTATTGACATAGGGGAAGTGCCAACACTCACATTACCCAGTCAACAAATGGCTTTCACAAGCTGTATGCTCCATACATACTCATGGGAAAACAGAAACCAAATAAATAAGATCTTACACATATTATATACAGGTTATGCATCAAATTTTATAATCTTTTTATTATTGTACATGCCATTCTTATGTGCAAAACTTTAAAGCCACGGCAGTATCAGTTGTTAGTAATGATTTCAGGAAGCATTAGAATTATGCCTGAAATAAATCCACTCACTAAAAACTGTCAAAAGCTTTCACTAAGTACAGGCATTAACATATTTCTCACTAGTTTTACATGAAGTATTTCAGGGACACTCATGCAAAGAAGGGGTTTGTATTTCATGATGACTACAAGTTAAATGACTATACCGAACTATAGACTGCAGAAACATGTTTCAAGCACTGTTTGTGTTTTATATTGGGAGGAACCATCAATTACGGCAACCAAATGAACTGCTTGCAGCTTTTAAACTTACCACCAAAAGCCATTAAGCTACAGACCAGTAATTCCTTCACATTTTCTAGACTTCATTTGAATGATTGCTATGAGAAATATTATCTGCAAATGTTTTGTAGTGCGGCTCAGCCAGAAGGGAGAAAGGCAATCTGTATTAAACTTACCTTGTGCTACACAAACAGTCCATAACATAAGCCAGATAATTCTTGCTGATAGTCTCATGCTTTGGATCTTTCTAGGACGCAGAGAAGTACAGCACCATCCAGTTCTCCTCTGTTAAGAACTGTGGTTACTGCAGGGAAAAACTTGCTCCAAAGGGAAGTTGAAAGTCTGTTTAAGAAATCAGGATGACTAGATGCTCCGCCCACCCCCCTCCCCAGCAACTTCTGCAAAATAAGCTCAAAGGGTAGACCACAAGTCTAGCTAGTGGCGTGGGCGTTTGATCCTTGCGCTTGCTGAGCCCTGCCTGTGACCTGCTGAATTGTTCTTGTAAATGCCCGCTTGTTTTCTTTGGAAACAAGTTCAGGTTTCTCGGAATGTGAGAAGCAGAGCCTGGTGATCGCCTCTGGATTTCATAACCACACAACGGAAAGCAGTGAAGGCCCTTTTAAAAATCATTTAGGCAACTTCACTTAGGTAAGGTTTTCAGGACCAACACGGGGACCAGTAAAGAAACTGCTGAGATGATCACACAAAGAAGGGAACTGCTCTTCCAAATTCACGAAATTAGTCTTCCAAGGAATTCTTTTTTATATGTGTGAGCCAACTTTTCCATGCTTCCTTGGATATAAACTAAAAACTCAAAAATCAAGCATTTGAAATGTTGATTTTCTAACATTGAGATATCGTATAGTAAGGAATGTGGAGGTACAAAAAGTGTCAATAGCGTGTTGCTGCAATGAAGCAGAATTCAGGCAGATAATCAATGCCTAACTGCCAAACTTGCTACCTCTGCCTTCATTTCTATCTGCTTGGCTCTCCCAGTTTCCACCCACAGTCGATGTCTCCAAGAACGTGGACTGTATTTGTCTGTACTTAGTGCATGAAAATAGGGGAGAGCAATTTACTCCTTTGTTTAGTTAGAGTCCTTTACTCAGAACTTTATTTGGGGCATCCCATTGTAGGACACGGCTCCCGGCTGTTAATTTTTGTTCTATACAGTATTCGATTTGAATACAGGACAATTTTTAGTTATTCTTGCGCATGTTAATGATAGAATCCAGCTAGGAAGTAATACAAATAGTCCCATGATGTTATACTGTATGGGGTTTTTAAACTATTGCTCTATCAGTCATATAAATGGGTAAACTGAGCACAGCAGGACATTTAAACGTTCTCTTAAGGCCACAAGAACTTTCTGGAGTGGTATGCTAAACTCAGGGCTCTAATACCCCAAATCATACATTGAATCTATACAGATAGATATTTTCCGATGGTTTGCCTCCTAATCTGGTGTGAAGAGACTCAATTGTCAATAGTCAATAGCTATTAGAAGAGTGTTTTGTCTTGTGGGTGTGACAACACACACGACAACAGCAACTTAAGGAAGGAAAGGTTTGTTTTGACTCACACTTGCCATAGACATAGCAGGGTAAAAACAGCCACAGGATCAGGAGCAGCTGGTCACCTAGCAACCACAGTGCAGTTGCAGAGAGCAGTGATAAATGCTTGCCCAACTCTCTATTTCTTCAGTCTGCAACTCCACCCCACAAGAGATAAAAGAACAGATTATAAAACCCATTTCAGAGTGCTTAATGCTAATAATGTCACAACAGCTACCTTAACGTTCTAAAGTTTTGTTCATTTTATTAGATAAAATGGACAGAATGTTTTTAAACTTTGATAATACGAAAATGGACAGACATTACAAATCATGGATGGTGAGATTCTGACTTTTCTAATATTTTGATAACAAGTAACAAATTTTAATCAGCTATACAAAATAGATGTTTTTCTCTTTATCTCTAGTGAAGTTATTAATAAATTGAGTCCTATAGCAAAATAATCAAAAGTATATAGACAACCAAAATATGAAAATTAAGAGTATATTAGATCTTATTATTTAAATGATATTCATTCTGTATTACTTTTTAATTCTTATTATTATTTTTGCAGATTCAAGTCTATTTTAGTTTATTATTTTCCAAACATCGTTGAAAAGGTAATTGTTCAAGTCACCTCATGAAAAACTGGACTGAGGGTAACTTCTGCTGGTTTTCACCAGAGAAATTACATATTTATTTGAACAATAGAAGCCAAAAAGGTACAATGGCAAAAGGAAAGCAACTTTAACAAATGGTGCTGGCGTAGCTGTATGTCAATATGTAGAAGATTGCAAATATATCCATATCTATCACTTTGGATAAAACTCAAGTCCATGTAGATAAAAGACCTCAACATGAAGCCAGTTACATTGAACCTTATAGAAGAGAAAATAGGAATTAGCCTTGAATACATGGGCATAGGAGATAACTTCCTAAATATAACATCAGTAGCACATATAGCAAGAACAAAAATCAATAAATGGGACCTCCTGAATCAGAGAAGCAAGACAAAGCAACAACCTACAGAATAGGAAAAGATCTTCACCAACTGCCACATCTGACAGAGGGCTGATCTGTGGTGTGGGAGTTTCTACTGACCATGTGTTGCTTTTATTGGCTAATGCATATAGAAACTGTCTTGAGCCCCTGATAGTGTAAACAGAGGTAGGCAGGAAAAATTAAACTGAATGCTGGGAGAAAGGAGGGCAGAGTCAGAGAGAAGCCATGTAGAACCACGTGGACAGACACCAGAAATTTAGCCAGTAAGCCACAGCCCTGTGGTGATACACAAATTAATAGAAATTGGTTAAATTAATATATATGAGTTAGCCAATAAAAAGCTAGAGCTAATGGGCCAAACAGTGATTTAATTAATACAGTTTCTGTGTGATTATTTTGGAGTTGAGTAGGCAGGAACCAACAAACAGTCTCCTTTACAACAGAGCTCCAAAATATATAAAGAACTCAAGAAACTATACAACAAAATACTAAATAATCTTATGATAAATGGGGTGGAGAAATAAACAGAGAATTTTCAACAGAAGAAACTCAAATGGTCAAAGGACATTTAAGGAATTACTCAACATTCTTAATCATCAGGGAAATGCAGATCAAAATGACTCTACCGTCTTCCACCTGTCATATGGCTAAGGTAAAAAAATATGAGGAGACAGGCTGAAGAGGATATGGAGCAAGTAGAACACTCCTTCCCTGCTGGTGGGAGTACAATCTTGTACAACCATTCTTGAAATCAATATGGTAGTTTCTCAGAAATTGGGAATCAATCTACCTCAATACCCAGCGATATCACTCTTGGGCATATACTCAAAGGATGCACAATCATACTACAGGAAACTTGCTCAACAATATTTATAGCAACATTATTCGTAATAGCCAGCATCTGGAAACAACCTAGATGCCCCTCAACTGAAGAATGTATGAGGAAAATGTGGTACATTTACACAATGAAGTATTTTGCAGTTGTTAAAAAAAAAAAAACAATGACATCATAAAATTTGCAGGCAAATGAATGGACTAGGAGAAACCAGATAACCCAAACTCAGAAAGACAAACACATTTTGTACTCACTCAAGAAACTATACAATGGATAGAAGACATAAAGAAAAGCAAAGGATAACCAGACTACAATTCACAGCTCTAGAGATTTGTGAGTATGGGGGTCCAGGTAACAGAGTGGAAGGGGAGAAGGGAGAAAGAAGAGAATAGGAAAACTATATAGCTCTATAAAAACAATTCTAAAAAGTGACTGGATACTTTCTATTGTGCAAGCTGTTGTCTGGAGACAGATAAATAGTCTTGAAGTCCTCAGCTGCAAGTTTCACAGAGTGGTAGGAAAAAGACAGCTGTGCTGAAGGCATTCAGTGATATGTATAGCTTATATGTACAATTGCTTTTTTTTATTTTACTAATCAATTTTGGTTTGTCTGTTTTTTGAGACAGGGTTTCTCTGCCTCTGCCGTCCTGGAATTCACTCTGTTGACTAGACTGTCTTCAAACTCACAGAGATCTACCTGCCTCTACCTCCTGAGTATTGGATTAAATGTGTATATCACCACTGTCAGGCTTTACTTAATTTTTAAACTTATAATTTATGATAATTGATCTTTAATTTTATCTATAGATCTACTTTAAAATTTTAATTTGAATTTTCTGAGAATTTTATACATAGATACACTGCATTTGAATGATTTCTACACCTCTTTTCCCCTTTCTTTCAACTCCTCCTATGTCCATCCTGCTCCTCTCTAATTGTTGATCTCTTCTATAATCACATCATATATGTACATTTACGTTTATATGTATACACTCAGAGTCTACTGACTCTAATTAGGGTTGCTACATATATTTGTGTCTAGGGATGATTATGAGAAACATGACCGGAATGTTGGTCACTGAAGACAACTAATTCTCCCAGTCATTGACTGCTTATAACTTTTCATCTGAGTGTGAAATTTTCCTCAGTTCACATTGTCCTTTTGTTTGGTGTCATCCTGAAAAGCTCTTGTGAAGGTGAAAATATTGTTAAATTTATAGGTACACCAATCCTATCCTGATTCTCTGTCTTTTACAATCTTTCCTTCCCTCTTATGGAATGTTCCTTGAGATGTGGTTATAAGAGTTGTGTTGTATGTGTATCAGTCATGCTGGGAATCACACAAACACTTATTCTCTATGTTTTTGATTGGGTAATAAACTCTATCTGCTGCACAAAGAGAAGCTTCTTTGATGAAGGGTGAGAGCTGAACTTACTTATGGGTATTTAAGGACAAATATTTAAAATATAGTTGGAAGCTGTATTAGTTTGGCAAAATAGCAGTAATAGGTTTTTTCTATAACCTCTCTAGCTATGTGTTCTTGGATAGGTTGACAGTAACAGGCATGAATTCCCTCCTATTGATTCACTCTTTCTTTTATTTTTTTTAAATTGACTTTTGTTGAGCTCTATATTTTTCTCTGCTCCCTCCCTGCCTCTACCCCCCCCCCCTTCAAGCCTCTCCCAAGGTCCCCATGCTCCCAATTTACTCGGGAGATCTTGTTTTTTTTTTTTTTTTTCTACTACCCATGTAGATTAGATCTATGTATGTCTCTCTTAGGGTCATCCTTGTTGTTTATGTTCTCTGGGATTGTGTTTTGTGGGCTGCTTTCTTTGCTTTTTTTAAAAACCACTTATGACTGAGAACGTGATAATTGTCTTCTGGGTCTGGGTTACCTCACTCAAAATAATGTTTTCTAGCTCCATCCATTTTCCTGCAAAATTCAAGCTGTCGTTATTTTTTTCTGCTGTGAAGTACTCCATTGTGTAAATGTACCACATTTTCCTTATCCATTCTTCCATTGAGGGGCACTTAGGTTGTTTCCAGGTTCTGGCTATGACAAACAATGCTGCTATGA